GGGGGAGACGACGACTATATACTTCTACATATATTTCTAAGTTGATATTTAAGTTTCCCATCATTAGCTTCACAGTTGCAAAGGATATAATTATTTTCACATTGTAAATATACACAGATACATATACATGTACCTATAGCTATATCTTAAAAATAAATTGGCACTCATTTTTAAAGCACACCCTGTGGACTCTCATTACAGCACCATCATACACTTTAAGAAGAACAAGGTTAACTTTAACAGTTGAATAGTAGTTAAGTGAACAATATTAAGTCAGAGAATTACTTGACCAGGTGCTTTATTAAGATGTCCAGCATCTCTCTGTTTTTCTCCGGCAATTTGTGCACCAATGCGTGTACAGCCTCCACCCGGTAGTTTTGGTCATCAGATTCTGTAACGTAAAAAAGGTTGCAGATCTCAAGTTTTAATTACATTCAAGTGTGTACATAAAAGTTATTAGCTCTGGCTGGTGTTTCTCAGTGGTTAGAGCATCGGCTCACATACCAAAGGGTCATGAGTTCAATTCCCAGTCAAGGGCACATACCTGGGTTGCAGGTTTGATCTCTGGCCCCCATCGGGGGGAGTGTGGGAGGCAACCAATCCATGTGTCTCTCTAATGTCCATGTTTCTCCCTCTTTCTCTCCCCCCTCCACTCTCTCTAAAAATCAATGGAAAAAATATTCTCGCATGAGGATCAATAACAAAAAATCATCATCATAACCACACCCACCCCTTCATGTCTTAAAAGCAATGCTCCACATGGTATTATCACCTATCATTCCCTAAGGCTGAGAGAGGCTCAGCAACTTGTCCATGGCCATGAAGTTAGCGAGGAAAGAAGTTAATCAACCCAGGTCTCTCTAATCCAGGCCTGTGCTCTTAGCCACAAACTGTACACAACCATATGACTGGAACTCATCACTTGCTTTGGTTTTGCTACACAAGGACAGAATCAAACCTTTAGTGATGTTAGTGATCACAGCGATTGTTACAGACTGCCTAACGTGTCAGGCACTATGACACACTATCAATCTGAGACCTCCAGTGACTCCATCAGACAGAGGAAGCAAGCATCCCTTTCCAAATTTTACAGATTCAAAAATAACCAGTTCTTTTTCTGAGGGGTCAGAATTATTGTGCAAACAGAGCCCTAGTCCATTTTGAGCCCACGCTAACAATAGTAAATCTGAAAAGTGAAAAATCATCCACAGCAAATCTTGTCTGCCAGGCCAAAGCAATGATGAAGACCTGTCTGCTAGAAAAACGCTTAACCCTTCAGAATAAGGAATCTATTTAACATTCGTTTACAGCAATAAACAAATTCTGGGGTGACTGCCTACCTTACCAAGCCCTTTCTCTGGAAAGTGCCCAACCACTAGGGCTTCTAGGATAGGACCACTGTTTCTTCCAGGGACACCTATTTGGAGTGAGGAAAGGCTGGGCCAAACACGAGCTCTCTCCCAGGAGTTGAAATGAAGTCACCAAAGCTGATCTGACTGCTGGATATGTGGAAAGGCAGGCCATGTAAAACCAGGGCTGCCATGAACAAATGTGCTCTCGCCCAAGAAAATCTGACTGACAAGGGAGACAGGAATGAGGCAGGTCTGCAGCCAAGAACAGAGATGAGCAACCTTCCAAATAGGGTGGGAGAGAAACGTCAATTCCCAACGCTGTGATTCCTGACTGCAGACCCACGGAAGGCCTGACCCCTCGTCTGCTAAGGAATTCTGTGAGACACCTCTTCTTTCTAAATAGCGTCCCCTTTTTTCTGAGCTGGATTTCTGTGGCTTGAAACCAAAGAACACCTAATTTTATTAGCTTAACATCTAGAAAATAGGATTATCCTTGACCCAGACAAAAGATGAATTCTTACTGATAAGAGCGCATATTAATGATCACGGTAGTGAGTAATATGATCATTATTTGTCAGAGAAGAAGTGTAGAAAAAAAGTCTTGCAATGAGATGTTTGTATCAAGATCACCAGCTCATTGAATCATTTTAGCTAAGTGGTTCAAATGCCATTTGTTATAAAACAAAATTTTTATAAGAAAAAGTTTGGGATTAAGAGTGTAACAAACTGGCTTGTAACCCTGGTATTGCCATGACTTTACTAGTGTCCTTAGGCAACGCCTTTTTGCCCAGTCTGGATCCTGACTCCTTAATCAATAAAATGAGAGTTCGTATTCTGTATTTGCTAAGATCTTATATATCCTGCAAAGACAGATTTTTATGATGACAGTGTTGAGTAGAGAGTTTTCAGGAGAAAGCTCGGGAGCACATTAGTATCTATCTATTCAGAAGGTCATGTGGTCAGTCAGGTAGGCTGGACTAAAAACCAAGGTTACTCAACTTTATCTGACACTTTTATCAGCAGACGTTTCCTGTAGCATTACAATGTGTGGCAATAAAATAATGCAGCTGATTTCTTTCTTGGATTGTGAAAAATAACTGTTACAGTCACACCTCATACGTTTTAACAATGAAATGCCAACTCCTAATTGTTATAGCGTGTTATGATGGGCTCAGATGGCGCCCTGGCACTCAGATCCCAGTGTTTTAAAAGTACATCTTTCTAACTTCTCAGGTTACGTGCTTCTCACAGACACCCCCACTCCCTACCTCCTCTCAAATTCTGGATTAATCCTATGTATTCACATCACATTTTAACACTCACAGATCTAAAGATATGTGATCATCACTACTGTAAATATAATATGGGGGAAAGGGTTAATGGAAATGCCTGTTACCTACCAAAAATATCTGACTTTTTTCTCCAGATTCAGGAATCCAGTATGTGAGTATGTGTATGGTAGTGACATAACTGACTATACATATTTGTAGTCTTACCTATTTAACCACAAAGTTACTCTTGTAACGAACTGACACCCATCCATCAAGTAAAATGTAATTGGAATAATTCCTCACAGCTCTTTCTGATCACACCAGAATGTCACCCCAATGGGGTCTTCTATTAAATGACAAAATATTTTAGTTCGTCCCGCAATTTATTTGTTAATAAACCATGTTGTAAGCTATTAAGTATCACATTGACAATTTCTTAAGCCATATGTAGGGACATCTTAACTAGCTGGTTTAAACTTATCCCTCTAAGTAATAGAGCATAAAACCGCATCAGTGGAAGCATACTTACTAACAGCAACAATAAAATCTTTGTGTAACTTGTAAGTCATCAGTGGTTCTGCAAGGCACCTACAAGAGAAGCAAGCATGCTTTAGAATGGCAGAACCTTTTCATGTCCCTGAACTTTCGGTGCTTCTTAAGAACTGGGTGCTGAGGCTGCATGATCAAGTCCTAGTCGGGAGGGCTCCAGGCGGTGCTAAAATGCAGACCTCAGGGACCCCAATGCCCCTTAGCACTTCTTGCCACAATTAATTCAAAAGGGAGGCCGCGAGACAATTTTTTCCCTTTGTGAGCAAAACTCCGCTCAGACAAGGGGATAACAGTTTAAGAAGAATCACTTTCAATTTCAACTTATTTTTTTAAAAATACATGTGAACCCCATTTGAAATTATTATCAGCCCAGCCGGCATGGCTCAGCAGTTGAGCATCAACCTAGGACCCACGAGATCGAGGCTCGATTTTTTGGTCAGAGCACATGCTGGAGTTGTGGGCTCAACCCCCAGCAAGGGGCGTGCAGGGGGCGGCCGATCAATGACACTCTCTCATCATTGATGTTTCTCTCTCTCCCTCTCCCTTCCTCTCTGAAATCAATACAGAAATATATACATATTTTTAAAAAGGTCAAATTGAACATGAAACAGAAATCAGTATTCATAAAATACCGCAGCCTGTTAAATCTATATTTGAGAAATCAAGGATAAGTTCCCGAACAGTAAATATACACATTCCCCCTGCGCTCTCACCTTCAGCGAAGGGCCGAGCTGGGGAGTGGGGCTCACACGCGGGGCCCCAGGGAGACACCAGGTGACTTTTTGCCAGAACAGAGAGAGGTGACGGGCACAGTGCCCGGGCTCAAAGCCCACTCACCTGAGGTAGTTTTTCAGTCCGCTTGTGATTGTTTTATTATCCCACAGTTCAATATCGATATCCATATCAGGAGGGGACTTGGGAGCTAAAAAGAATAAAAATAAAATGCTTCAATCGTTCAATCCAAAATACCACTCGCACCACTAAGAGAACAGGTACTAAAGTGAGTAGGTCAAAGAAAGAGTCACTAAACCTCAAAGGCTTCTTGTGGAATCAGTTTCCCAAAGCAAATTACCGCTCACTGCTCACATCACAGAGCCTGCGCCGCGGGCTGGCCATGCTTCTAAGCATTTCACATGGATGGAAATGTCCAGTCCTCGCAATGCTTAGTGAAGCAGGCACTGCTATCATCCGCATTTTATAAGCCAGGGGGCTGAGGCACCGCAAGGTTAAGCAGATCACCCAAGATCACAAAGCTTTTAAGTGGAGGAGCTAGGATTCCACGCAGGCAATCTGAACCCAGCGTCCATACTCTCACTGTGCCTCCAGCTGATCAAGGGACACTGGAGAAAAGGTCCAGCGCTACTAAAAGGTCCCCTCTCAAATTCTGATTGTTCATCTATTATAAATGAACACCGAAAACTAAATACAAATATTAATTTTAAATATGACATGAAAATACTCAAGGATAAGCAATAGGCTACACCTCAAACAAACAACAACAAGAAGAAAAACCACACAAGCCCATGGTTTGGATTATCTACAAGAATACAAAAATTAATTAAGTAACCGCTTCATCCAAAACTTACAAAATGTGGTGTTCATGAGCTTCTGAACTTTGGAGTTCACTCCTCCGATTCGGTAGAGGCCTAAAATTGTGATGCCTGACGGGAAGGAAAAAAATCACAAGAAAACAGCTTGAGACACAGCTTCCCAAGTACAGGATGTTAAAAGCTCAGGGACACGCCTGCACGGAATTTGAAAGCTACTTATCCAATTGTGTAGCCTCACTTTAGCCAGCCTACCCTGGAAATGCCCACCAGACATCTATTTCTCAGAGCAGACACTGAACAGCGATTTGACTGTCTCTGAAGATCTTCACAGCAGCAAAGCACACCCACCTATTCATATCTGAATATGACTATGCAGTCGCATTGCTCATCTATTTCTTCAGTCATGGACTTTTCTGCATGTAGAACAGGTTTGTGCCATTTAAATGTTCTCTTTTATGGAGAGGAAACAGATTCGGAGAATTTAAGAAACCTACTTAACTTCTCAAAACTTCTAAGTGGCAGCACCAAAATCTGAATCTAAGTTCGGAGAACTCCAAAGCTTAATACGAGTTTTGCTTTAGACAAGTTTTCCTGGAAGTGTGATTGTGTAACGGACCACTAGAAGGGGACCTCAGGACAGAGGTCACGGCTAGAGTGAGGAAAGGGGGTGAAATTGAGACAGTGACAACTCACTGAAGGAAGTCATGTAGGGCAGGAAGGGCTGAAGACAAGCTACTTAGGAATCTTTCTGACCTCCAGGGTCCACCAAGAAGAAATGGAGGCTATTTTGGGAAATGTCACTAAGAGCAAGCATGTTTGGTAAACCAGAGTTCAAAGTATAACTATTTATGTATCCATGTAATTTATATACTCATATAGCTCTTAAAATTAATCCCATGCTAACGGTTACATATATTCTCCTTTTCCAAGCATTTTTATGTAAGAATGGACCACACTACATTAGCCATACAGTCGTCAGGTGCACTGACCTCTTGTTTCCACAGCTTGAATGCATTTTCTCACAAAGTTGAACCCTGCTTCATTTAAGTACACTGAAAATAAAAGAAAATCATATTAAGTGTTCATGCTGAACTTACATCCCCCCTTCATTGGGCTCTGTTGTTTTATGATTTAATGGTAGTTCTGATGGAGTCTGAATTTTTATATGTGGTAGAAGTTGAGGAGGGTGGTTCACACTCACCAATGTTATTACAGGAACTTGATTCATTAGAAACACAAATCCTTCCAGAAAGTAAATATGTTACATGGATCCCTTCCATTTTTCCTAAGATTAGCAATATCCTTTGCTACGTTTTTATAGTTGATAAAAGCAAATGCAATAAGAATAAACTTTTATTGCGTATTAATAACTATATTACAAAGCTAGTCACATACGCTTTCCCATGGGATTCCCAAACAACATTATGAGGTAGAGAGAAAGCTTTAATCTTAAAATGATTCCTTGGGTTGCTGGTAACTTCATTTTCTTTGTTCTAAGCTCTAGAGCCAGGATTCTAACTTAAGTCTCTTGATTCCAAGTCCCATGATCTTTCTATTGCATTTTGTAGCATATTCAAAATAACTCAAAATAACCTCAGTCCACTAAAAATCTCCCAAAGATGATTATTACATTGTGAAATAGCAATTTATTTTCATTGCTTTATGCCAGATTTTCTTTAAATTAGTGTATTTTTTTTAAAGGTTTTGGGGCCTGATCAAATTAGATTACTTGTTTAAACAGAAATAATTTAATAATACTAAGTAACAGAAGGAAAACTCAAAATTTTTTGTATTACAATGAAAATTTTCATCATATGTGGCAGAGATAGGGTATTTCTTAGTGTTACCAAATAACATATGAAAGCAAGTCGAACTAATAAAAAATTAAAACTGGCTTCTACTTAAAGATGACAGATTAAACACATTCATGTAATTCAACACGGATCCAAAACAACAAAAGTATATGTTAAAAAATTATGCTAAAAAAAAATCAAGAAGGGGTGCCAGCTATAGACAAAAACTTGAAGAAATCCGACACACAATCCAACACTTTGAAAACCACTGAAACCGAATTAACTGAAAGGTTTGAGAAAAGCGTGGCCCCCAAAAAACCAGAGGTACTGACCCAAAAGGATGTTTCCTATGTGTTGTTAGGTGAAAAAAGTAATCTACAGGATGATATGACCTAATTTCTGTTTTAGTTTTCTACTTTTTATTTATTTTTTAATTTTTTTCCCCATCACAATTTGTCACTCCTATACCCTGTCCCACCTCCACACTACCCCCTGCAATCACCATGCTGTAGTCTGTGTCTGGAAATTCTTTTTTTTCCCCTTTTTTGCTCAATCCTTCCACACCCTCCTC